GCCATCAGGACGTGTTGGCTCCCATGAAGCGTTTATTTGCCTCCTCTTCCTGCTCCTTACCTTCCATACGCCTCTTTCTTCCTGCCACAGCTCAGGTATTTGGACACATTCCGGCCATGCATACCGCCGCTCAGCCCATACAGCGAGGCCCGGCTATTGGGTTACTTCAGCGTTACCTAATAGGTCTGATCTGGGCTCAAAAGCGGCATAGTTATAAGATTTGCTTCCTTATTAAGCCGAAGAGGCAGAGAAGTCTGCACCTCTTGGCTTTTTGAGGGGTAAAATGGCTGCGCAGCTGACATCTTACAACTGAGTAGAAGCCCAGATCCCTCCTAGGGGTTATTAAACGCTTAGGAGCGCTCATTGCATACTAACAAGCCATGGCGGATTTTTTTTTTATAGCTGTTATTGAAAAGCTGGGATAGTTCTTCTGTTTGTCTTTGCAGAAAAAGGAGGTTAGAAATGTACTTGCCCCTCTTCCTTTGCTATTGAAGCATTTCGTTGTGGCTGAATGATTTCCATCTAGCACTTGGGAGTATATGGATTTGAAACCAGAGGAAAGGAAACATAAAGAGGAAAACTCACCCTGCTGTTTAATCAAGCTTTTAAAGACTTTCTTGTGTGTGGCACCATGGAATTCAGCCCTCTCAATGTCCTTCCTGTAACAATTTGTAGCGGCTGCGGCATGCCTTTTGTAGTTCTTGTTGTATTTATTCTCCAGTAGAATAGTGCATTGTTTGTCAGAAAAGAAAAAAAGAGGCCGCACGCACGCACGCACACACACACACACACACACACACACACACAGAAACCCACTTCCTCCAAACTGGAGTTCACCTTCCTTTGCTGCCAGAAATGCCATGTGTGTGTTGCCCCAAATTCTGGTGTGTGTGCGTGGCTCATTGTCAATCAAACAGAATGGTCCTTTACCCCTCCCTCACCCCATCTTTAAGTCCTGACTTTACTTTATGTCTGCTCCCCCTCAGTGAGTCCAAATGGCCATAAGCTCAGTGGCTAAAGTCTAAGTGAGGGCTCGGCATGCTTTCTCTGTCTCACACACACACACACACACACACACACACACACACACACACACACACACACACACACACACACACACACATATATATACACACACACACACACACACACACACACACACACACACACACACACACACACACACACACACACACACACACACACACACACACACACACACACACACACACACACACACACACACACACACACACACACACACAGTGGAGTCGCCTTGGTGAATAGTCACAGCTCGGGGGGAATGCATCAGAGCAGACAATAGCCATGTATTCTTACTGACTTCTCCTACCATCCAATTGAAACACTGCACGATGTAGCCTGTGTCTCCCTTCAGCTCACAGTGTCCCATTCTGACAGAGATCACAGCCAATAGCCCCACATTGAGCTTTTTCTCACCAGCGAGGACAGCTAAATGCTGCTGACACTGCTTTGGAAACAGCTTTTTGAATCTGAATTGTGAGAATATGTTGCACAAAAGTAAAGTCCACATAAAACCTGAATACTTGAAGAAGTAAATGCCAGGCATGTGACGGTAATGATAATCACCCATCACCTGTCTTCATTTTGGCAGCAAGGACAGTTGGGCCGAGATCAAACCAAACCATGTCCTCCTGAAGAATTTGAAAAAAAAAGATAATGGGAGAGGTAAAGGTTTAAAGTGTTTTAAAAGGACTGAGCATTATTTTGAAACTTGTTTGACATACAGTATTGGTATTAGATAGAATGAGAACGCCATTAAGATTCTGTACTTGGGCAAAGAGGTATTTTGAGAAAAATGCTCACAGTGTAAAAACGTTTTGTTCATTTGCCAAATGGCTAGTGAATGATCCAACTTTATCAACTATCGACGTATTAATCGACGTGCTTATTTTACCAGCATTTGGCTGGAAAATGGAGTTTATGCTGTGCCCTTATGCTAACATCTTCTAACACTAATGACCAAGGTATTTACTTTTATTCAATATGGCTTTGGATAAAAGGGTCAGCTAAATGAAATGTACGAATAAAGTATTGGACCCATTTAAAAGTCGAGGAAGAGCGAAAGTAATCAAACAAGATTAATCTTTTTGGCTATCATGGATATCCCTATACCAAATATCATGGCAACTTCCAACAAAAATGTAGTATGTAAAAATACAAGATAAGATGAGCTGAAAGCATTGCAAACATTGACTGTTACAGTGCATGACGTCAGTCACAGAACAAAGACAACAGGCCAGTCATTCAGGAAAGACCTTCTTGGAGAAAAGTCTTTCTTTTTCTCCAGCAGTGGTGGTAGGTCTTTTGCTGAATGACACACTGATGTGTGTGTGAGTGCTGGAATGTGTTGTTCAGCTCTGTACTTGTGGGTCTGGGTTGGCCCACTCAATCTTTGATGTCTGGGGATGAAAGGTTGTAGCCTTCCCATCTTGTCTTTCGTCTTCAAGGACAGCCTGTGTACATTTAAGTGTCCCCCACACCCAATGCATGTCTCCTTGGACCACCATCATAAAAGTTAACTTGCAAGACACAGAGAGAGGGACAAGTAAAGAGAGCAGGTACTCTGATGGTCAGACTTGTCCACCCCACCCACACTTTAAAAGGGTGCATTGTGTCTAGATGACACCCTCCTTTAGGTCTCTTCTTGTTGTTTTTTTTACTGCTGCCTTGTACGTTTTCGGTGATGTTTGAATGGTTTGGTCCAGTTTTACTGTATGCTCAGTTGTCCTTAAATCATGTCTTAAAAGTGAAATATCTCCCTTTGATTGGTAAGGCTAGGAGTGGGGGGAAATACAGATTTGAGATCCAGCTTCATGATTCTTACATATCAAATAAAAATAAAACTTGGATATAACTAATAATGGACAATAATAAGAAATACTTTTTCATGGTTTCTCGATTGACAAAATCAATGTAGAAATAAAGTCCCTATTTTAGGGAACAGACTTTAAAGGTGGGGTAGGTAAGTTTGAGAAACCGGCTCGAGATACACTTTTTGTTATATTCCATGGAATGCTCTTAACATCCCGATAGAAATGAATATCTTAAGGGCTTTGACAAAAGATCCATAAAAAAACGTCATCTGTGGAAGCCGTAGTATTGTAAAAAGCACGACCAATCATTTTAGCCGGCCCGGCTAAAATAACTGGATGGCCTACCTGCCTGTCAGCCTTCCATCTGTGCACAAACTTATCTTGTGCTCTCATTGGTCATGTGCGCGTTTGTGTGTGTTGGAGGAGGGGCTCTGTAAGGAANCATGTATAAAAGACGTACAAAAGTGCATTTTGCATGATAGGTCACCATTTAAAAAAGGTGAGTGCAAATACTTACTCGGATTTAATCAAGTCAATCCTACAAGTCGTTTCTTTCAGTGTACTTATTATATGTTATAGTTTGGATTCCTAAAGCTTTTAGTCTACTATCCCATCATTCAAGGGTGGTTTTCAATATAAGTAATGGGTTTATTTTGGACGGACACTATCATTTAAAATGTTTTACTATGTTCAATCTGAATTTACTTTAAAATAAAACAATTCTATATTGATTCTGACTTTTCTACATCCAACTCACAGGTTTATCATTGCTTTGAGAAAAAAGATTATTAATTTACTCCTTTTAGAAATTAAGATATAGTCAATTGTTCTGGGAATGTCATTTTCGAGCCTGAGGCCTGGAAAACAGGCTTGGGGCTCAACTGGCAGCTAAGGTCAACAGTTGTTGCGGTCAACTACTGGGATTTATAGCAGTCAGGTGACTGAAGTTAATTACAGACCAGCTGTGAGGTCTTCCAATTATTCTCAGACCCCTCTCAAGATATTTATGTTTCCGTTAAGATGAGGCCAATTTGAGCAATGAAATCATATGAGAGTTATTTGTCCAAGATGTTTCACATGATTGACTAAAGAGAGTCAAAACACTCTTCTGAACTTCACGGCTTAGGAGACCTGGCGCTGTTTAAATTGGTTCTAGAGAGGTAGTTTGGGAATGTGAGATGTGTGGTTTTCTGACACAGGAATTAGTTTGACCTAGGCCTAGTCCACACGACACGTACACAGGATTTTTTGTGACATAGCTTTTTCTTTGCGTTTTTCACCTTTTATCTCCACACCCAAGCAGTGTTTGAGGTCATTAAGTGGTCACGGTGAGTGTTTTCAGAAACTTCGCTCAAGGTTGTTGAACAGACGGCTAAAAAAGGGCATCGAAATACTTGACCAGTAATGTCAACATTTGTGCTGTAATGTCCTTTGAGCAACATTTTGAGGAATGGCGGCACAAATACAATATTTTTTTGACCTGCTGTACTATAACTTAATCATATAACATACATTTTTTGACGATATATATTGGACATCTTTCAACATACTAAACCTAGCCAATTTTTGTATGTATTATACATTTATACATACTAAACCATTTTTTTTTACATAATTTACAATAACTTTTTGCATATTATTTGTCATAGTATTCTTAATTTTTTTGAATACTATACTATGACTTAAAAAAAAAGAAGGAACACACTGAAAGCCGTCTTTACCAAGCCAATCAATAATAGTTGTTTTCTTCTTTGGTAGCCATCGCTAATGGGGCAACATTTTCAGCAACGGCGGCATAAATACAATCATGACCGGTGGATGGGACCAAAAAACCTGGTAATAGGACTTTTTTACATGTTTACACATAAGTATACTGTAAAGGTGCTCTTCCACTACACTGAGCAAAGAGGCCTACCTTATGCGCTCTAAAGTTCCCATGCAACACTCCTAGACACAAACCCCCGCCCACACCACCTTACACATGTGGCCCACTCGGCATACTCAGAGAGACATGAAGGAGGAAAACCCTGTTTATAAAAAGATGTGTGTACATGTAACCTAGGCCTAATTCAGTTCATCATTCAATTATGTTTGTATCTACTCAGAAAATATGTAATTTCCAGATTTCAGGGGCCTGAATAATGTTTAGTTGATAACGGACTGAGCTTGCATACGCACCAGAAACTTCTCGGAATCAGCTCCTCCAGCTTGCCCCACAAAGACCCCGGCGCCGGCCTCCAGCTCCATCTCATCGGGGGATCTCTCCAGGCGCATCACCTGAGGGTCCGTGTCACAGTTCAGGTAGAACATCACCTTGTCGTCCCTCACAGCGATGGCAAAGCGAGTCCAGGTGTCTTTCATGGAGGGCGCGAGGAACCGGGCCGCCTCGTAGGACTGCTGTGAGTCGGGCTCCGTGTAGTACAGGATGACGTACTGGTTCCCCCCCTGCACCGCGGACAGCTTCACACCCACGTACATGATCTGCTGAGCGGCATCAGTGATGGAGAAGATGGTGCCGCCCCTTTCGGAGGTGGGTTTCAGGTTGAAGATGAGGGCGAAGTCTCGGTAGAAGGGGCTCGGAAGGTAGGCGCGGGCCAGCTGGCCTGAGTTGGCATCGGGGCCGAACACATAGCCAGGGCTGCTGTCAGGCCCAAAGACCTGAGTGATGGTGCTGGGGGGGGGGTCCCCAATCAGCTGGAGCAGGGTGACTCCACTTTCTTCTAGAAAGGGAGAGAAAAAGGAGGTGAGGCCACAATATGCAGGGGATATGTTGGTGGTTAGATGGGAGGGCTGCATGGCAGGGTGTAATGTTAGACCGGGCTTAAGGGAGTGGGACTGATGGATGCAGGAATAAATACTGTTACTTGCATTGGACTCTTGCATAGTGAGTCTTTAAGTCTGTACTAAACCAAGAAAACAAACAGAAGTATAGGTGATAATGTTTTTAAATGATTGTAAACAGCATTAACACATGTCATAAAATATGTAAGGAAAGTGACCTTGACTGACTCCAAACAACCTGTTGGCTGTTATGAGAAGCATTGGCAAAGCAACTTTGCTTAGGGGACCACAAACAAACAAACCAGTTTATAACTAAGATGGAAAGGGTTGACTTGCATCATAAAAGGCAAAGGGATGGGCCATTTGAGAGTAAGAAGAGCAGATTACTTTAGCAGACATTGTATATCAAAGACTAACGACAGACTTCAACTTCAGGACTGAAGTCATCTGATCTTGTCTTTAAAATTCAATGTCTGCTAAAGTGATCGGCTTTTTTAAGGTAATGTATATTCTACAAGATATCTTTGGCACTTTAGGCTCGCAGTATCTGAGTCAAACAACTTGAAACATGTTTCTGCATGTGTCAAACACATCTTTATGTTTCTTGTGGAACGTATTAAAATGTTTAAGCCTTATCATTTAAAGTAGTGATAGAATAATTACTACATGGGTTCTCTGCAAAACACTTAGAAAATTGCATCAAAGGACCAAAATGTATAACATGGAAATATTACACACAGAAAACTATTACTCTTGCATGCATCCACTATAAAGGAAGAATCAAAACATGTAAAAAAGTCTTGAAGAACTGACCTAAATGGGGGCCAAAACACATGAATTCTACCCTAAATGTTAATATTTAAAAGAACATGTTGCGATATTTGCAATTTTAAGGTTTCAGATAGCCCTGGCTGATACAATTAAATTGATTTACAAATGGTCTTTACATTGGTTGATTATTCATAGCTAAAATGTTTTCCAAATATTGACAACTAATACAACTAGTGTGTGAAAAGGCTAGAGATTTATATCTATTCATGACATTCCTGAAGACACTATAAAAACTTCTTCCGACTTGTGTGACATCTGCTGAATGTCCCTGCCCCGGGCCCTCAGGGACCAACAGCTGGGCCCCTGCATATCTCTGCTCACTTCTCCATCACCCCGGGTGACTCTGGAGAGGTCAGCGCATAATCATTGGAGGCGTTTAGGAAACACAAGGAACACAAAGAGTGATGTGTGCTCATCCCCATTCTGGTTCGGATGTTTAACTAGCATCAAACTGGAGACTAAACATTACTGCTTTGATCAAAACCAATGTTTCCTCATGTTAAAAGAAAAATCACTGTTTTGGGAGAACGTGTGACGTAGGTTCTTTGAAGAATTGCTTTGGTTGACCACCTGGAGTCTAATGTGCTAGCTCTATTGTCCGGTTCAAAGCCTCCCCACTGTCCCGATGCTGTAGATCAGTGGGTCTGCACTCAGCTCTGTTGAGAGCTTAAACACACAAGGTGTTTAGCTGAACCTGAGGTCCTGCCTTCTGCTGTACGACCATAAACACCAGGCTGAATGTTTGTCTGTCTGAGAACTGAAAAATACTTTCCAGTATAAATTATGCAGTTTAAATATCTGAAGATTCCTCATGAAATGTATTGCACATTTCAAGATGTGTCAAGAACACAAGAAAAATCTGGAAAAGCAAGTTTCGTGGAGCAAATGCAAAAAAGTTTAAAAGTGACGTGTGCTACATGACTGTATTGTGTTGACCGTCTTACTTATACTCTTTGGATTAATTAAAAAGTAGCATATTTTTGAATTTCAAATAAGTGTGGTAAAAGCTACAAGCTTAAAGAGGATTAATAGCTTTATGTATCTTCATAAAGATATGAGATCTCCAAGACCTTAACATAAAACAGACATTGGCTTCCTGAATTAGTCAAAGTTGACGCAGATTCCGAGTTTCAGAACACCTGAGGCCGACCCTGAATCCTTAACTGTTGCATGAATGGCAGGTAACATTAAAGTCATTTGCACCAGGCCAACCAGATGTCTCCTCTGATCAACTCAGGATGAGAACACCCACCAGATGTGCACTTTGTTGGACTATGTGTAGAATGTACCCAAATAGACGATGGTCCAACACTAAATGCTAAAAAGTATCATTTTTCAATCCTGATGTAATTGAGCCAGACACTAGTAAGGACAATTTAATTTCCCGACTTTAAGCAAATACAAAGGTTTGACCTGCTTTAGGCTTGTAAAGGATTGCTTTTGCTAAATCCTCTTCAACATGCCTGCATTGTCAGCAATGGGCCAGCCAGTCATTCCTTCACAGAGATCAGAAATCATTGGGTACACAAAAGGTGCCCCATTAGCATTTTAAGTGGAAACTCAATGCAAGTTTTACAAACTGCTTTTGTTAACCAATGACAGCTTCAAGGCCGATGGGGTATAGAAAAGGTTTGTTGATGAATGGAGAAGTGCTGAGTTTATGGTGCTATAGTTTGCCTTGTCAAGAAGGCGGCTTAGTGTCCAGGAACACAGCACTTGTTCATGTACTAACATTCCAGGTTGGGGGTACCACAGTTTGTGATACCCTGTTGATAAAGCTGTATATACAGTGTGAGGCTGTATACGCAGCTTTGGGAAGAACGGGACCCTGCGTAATCCATGGGAAAACATTTGAACATCTGGACAGTCTGAGAAAACTTTGCTGTTTCACTGCTCCATCACCATTTAAAACATCCCTTGAGGCGTGCTGACAGGGGCAATGAACTATCCCGTCACTCTGCAGAAAAAGCTAGTCGGTGGTTTGACCTGCGTTTTTAGTGTCAGAGTTCACCTCGTAGAAAAATGACGACCCCATGATTGTAAAGAAAACATTTCAGCAATGCTAACGCTTCAGCACAAAGTATGTCTTTCGTACTTTCAACCAATTGATTTGAAAGTGAAGTTAATTAGATTTGGTCACATGATATGGTGCTCTTTGCTCTCTGCTTATTTGATTCCTGTTTGATCTTAGTTGCAATGTCTGTCCGTCTTCTTACAGGGCTAAAGGGAGTCCTGTTATGCTTATAATGTTAAATCAATATCAAGTACTTGGTGCAAAATGACATAATATTTTTGATTTGTTTTGCTAAGACACATTTTTAACAGCAGCACTTTATTTTTCTTGTTTTATATCAGGGAATATGGTACCATAATTACTACAAATCAAACAAACTGATAGCTCTTTAACCAAACCTGTTTCCACTAGAAAGCGTATATGTAATACGTAAGTAAATGGAACAATTAACACTGGATGTTTTTAATATAATAGGTACACCTTCCTTGAATGAATGTTCCTTTCTTTACTGAAAAAGCATATTCTTTGAATTCAGGGCAAAGTTTGTGGTATCTTTAACCTGTAGAGAATACTCGGAAAGAGATATCAAACTAAAACCCACATCACAGTCCAGGAAGGAGTTTTCATGTTGGCTCGCCCTGAAGACTGTAATTCTCAAGCCCGTAAGGGAAGATGGGCCTACCACAAGCTGTGCACTTTAGGGGGGAAATAAATAAGATACTGTTCAAGTTCTCTACTGTACTTGTAAGTGACAAATTAATGATTCTTTAGAGCTCCTGAAGAACATAGTTTGTATGATATTCACAGAGGCAGAGGTGAAATGCTTCTAAAAAAGTTAAGAGCTAATACCTTTTACCATCCCTGTGCCTCATTACTGAGTTTTGTACCGGTTCAACACAAACCAGAGGGGGCAATGAGTTTCTGGCAGCAAAGAAGTTGAACTACTCTGTGCCCATAATTGGAACCCTCCTGAGAGCCAAGTCAAAATCATTCCCTGGCAGGCTGCGCGCTGAAGAGCCGGAGCCAGCTTTGGGCCTTCCTGTTATGAGATACAGTACAATATCAATCTCAGCTCAAAGGAACCATGGTGCTACAAATCATTGTCAGACCACCATAAGGGTGTACAAGCCACAACACAAAGACCAAATGTACACAGAATTCACCCAAACAGAAGTGTTTATCTTACAGGAAATCTACCGTTTCATGTTGTAGACCACCAGAGGGGTGGCTGGGGGACAGGAATCCCCTTTATTATCAATTTAAGGAGCCTAAACTGAGAGGAGTTCCTCATACAGGATATCGTATTACTGTCAAGAGCTAAGCAAAATAAATTGCAGTTGACCTAGACCCTGATATGAGTGACTGCTCATCTTCCAAGCAGGGGACTGGTAACCATGGAAAACATAATTAAAAGGGCTATTATGCCCTAACAATAACTTCTTACCACAGGGGCAGCCCCCCCAAGGTAAAAGGATCACATCTGACAGATTTCATACAATGTTTCCATGCCCCAAACAATACATCTGCCATCTTCCCACAGCGACCTCCCACATGCACACATCTAAAAGTCCCGGACACACCAAGCTGACACCAAAGAACTGACACAGACGGACCCCCGACTGTTGTGTCACCTCGCGTCTCTGCGTCTTGGCCATATGTCTCACTGGAACACACCGCAAAGACTTCAGCCGACGGCCAAGAAGCACGTACGAACTGCGCATGCGTGAGTGGCAATAACTCTCCTTACCAGCAGGCGGCGGTAGTGTGTATTCGTCATTCAGAAGAGGCAACAACCGGAAGACATACTGCGTGATAACCGAGAGAAGAAGAACAGACTGTGTGATGTAAACAAACAACAAATAGCGTGCGTTCCATTTTCACTCTACAACGAGAAGCTCATGGGGCTTTCCCGAACCTGTGTTGAGAGCTGGAGTTAAATTAAATCTCACATTTGCCTTCTTAATCGTTTGTTTGGTTCCCTCACTTCCGTTTCGCTTCTCATGCACTGATTCGCTAAGCTGAACAGCCAATCAGAGTGATTTATTTTACCGACAGCCTTTGGCCGACTGACGGTTACAGCCGAAAAGGTGTCGGCACGGCTGAAAAGACATGACGGTGCGGCACACACCAATCTGAGTAGGGCGTGTCAACGCTCATCGTCGGCCTGACGCCCGTCGATAGCCAAAATCGGCTTGTTGTGTCCGGGCCTTAAAGGCTACATGCAAATACTTAACTTTATCTCTATTGTGTTCCTGCCCCATGCCAAGGGCCAAACTTTAATTCCATCCAATATACCAGCTCAAGAAGTAAGTAGATCATGAGACATTCTTGCATGACAGGTCATAGTTATATGATGTAGGAGTAGGGTGGTATTAACAAGAATATGAGTTCCCTCCTCCCACACATCAAGCAAACAAAGCTGCAGACGGTCAAAGCTTCCCAGACCCTGCATGGTGGGGGCTCTGATCAGTGAATTTAAGAGGTCAACGGGCTCCTAAGTGGGAAGGTGCAGTAGAAAACAGCCCAAGATAAAGTTATTGGGCCAATTAACTAGAAAACAGGGCATTTGGGGCAGCAGGGCACACATTTACAGAGCTTTGGAACAAATTATCTTTGCTTTTTACGTATGACCTCATTTAGTTGTAGGCCAAAGCCCACCAAGCTGTTTACTACTTCTAAAACATTACCAGTATGCCTTCTTGCTGTAGCAGGGAGACATTGGCATAGGCACATGAGGCATTTTGTCAGTACAAACCATGTGATGAATGCTCATAAAGGCAACGTCTAATTGACTCAGAAGCTTAGTTATCTTTCGGAAATGGGGGGAAAGAGACAGAAGTAAGCAAAAAGTAAAGTAATTTCTTATATTTGGTGAATAAAGACTCATCTGAACATCACACCAACAAGCAGTGTCCAGTGGTGAATTTTAAATATCGCTGTGTTTGTATGAGTGATATCAGACGAGCTAGACTGCGCTGGCGTTCTGTCCAACCAAGAATGATTTAGAGAGACTGAAAGCATCTCAGTGATACCTCGGGGGCAACTCAAACAGGTGATACCCAAAATGACGTCTAAAACAACCAGCTTCTGGAGAGCCAATAAAAGCTATCCTCAGGTAGTAAATATGTCTACAAAATCCTAGTTTTTAAATGTCCCTTAGGCTGCAAATATCAATGTCAGAGCATTTAAAACAACTCCTTACACATTATTTAACACAAACACTTGTAGTGTAAAGCTTTGCAGTAAAGCCAAAAAGCTAACACATGAACTGTGTGGCTTTTTACAACAAGGCAACATAAAACCTTGCCTTAACCCTAACCCCCCAGATGAAGAAAAAACACAAGCACCTTGTATATCAACACAGAAAGTAACACATCTATTTGGGCCCAGATGCATCACTTAGTCTTGGAACCGGAGACATCTTGTCCACTCATGTCTGTCAATGAAGCCAGGTGTCAGATAGATAGTGGAGCTGTAAAAAGACACAGTCTTGAACTCTGACTGATCTGAAGTGAAGAAGGAGTGCAGGACAGTTGCCTAGTAAAAGGCTTTAAAGAAGTACAGAACTTTAGACAAAGCTCTAACACTACTTTGAAAGAGACATTTCACAACAAAAAACTGTCCTGGTATTTGACATGCAATATCCATTGAATATATGCATTCAACTGTTTAAATCATTCACTTTGTACAGCCGTTTGCTAGCTGTAAGAAATACTTTTTTTCAAGCACAGATGTAAAAATGTACATCCCACTGAAAACCACTGAAGCAACATGACTGCTTCCCATGCATGACGACTTCATCTGTCCATTCCTGGACAGACAGATGCTCATGGAGCTGACTGCGAGTCCCTCACTGTCAAAAGAGACATGCAATTCTACATGCCGAGTTATCTACAGTTTCCATGCACACGTTGTTCTCAGAAGACAGGCCCTGTCTTGTGCAATTCCAGATGCATTAATGCTAATAACAAAGATATCCTAAAAAGAACAATATTTAATCAGTGCTTCATAATTTACTAATGAATTAAAATAATCTATGTTTTTTTGTACTGCTTTTGCTTTACTACAATCTGTGTTGCAGGATAAGATATATGGAGTGTACGAAACCATGTAATTATTACCCTTTAAATTAATAATTTACTGAAAATATACATAACTTGGTTTTGAAATGAACCATAAACCCATTTACTGTACTGTGTGTGTGTGTGTGTGTGTGTGTGTGTGTGTGTGTGTGTGTGTGTGTGTGTGTGTGTGTGTGTGTGTGTGTGTGTGTGTGTGTGTGTGTGTGTGTGTGTGTTGTTATAATAACCTTCAAGTTGTAAGTCACATGCATTCCAAAGGACAAGGGAAGCACAGACATGCAACATTGTAGGATTGTAGGGCAGGAGGGTTGGCACCATGCTTGTTAGGCTAAAGCCAGAACTTTTACCTTTTAACAAACTTGAAGCATGCTTATTTTTCTTTCAATTATTTTGCAAGGGAACCAGGGTATAGTTAATGTCAATGACGTCTGTGCTGAAAGGGACAAATGTCAATTTTTGGAGTTGGGTATTGGGTTTTGGGAGGAAACACCAGACAAACTGGAGAATAGGGACACTGAAAACTGGTTCAAATGAATCCTAGTTTTGGGATTCATTTGAACCAGTGATTACCTTTCTGGTTACTAACTGACAAGCACTGATACCCATCATCCTCTTCTTCTGGTAGAGTGTGGCACTCCAGAGGGAGTTGTCCCTCATCCAGGAGTGTCCAGCAACTGTCCCGCAAGACTTCGCAGAAACTCCGGCAAGGCAACATCGGCTCACCGCCACATTTTGGTACCAAGAGAAGGCAGAAAAACCACTCCAAACTATGGTGGCAAAGTGACTTCAACAGCCACCCCCATTTGTTTAGGAGTACCTGGACTTCCTCCACACTGCTCTGGTTAAGGTAATTGGGCACAACAAAACTTTCCCCTATCATGGAGGAGCAGAAAGGGAGAGCAGTATCTAGCAGCAAGCATTGTGGGGATTCTACAACAAGTGCTGATTTAGCTTCTTCGGTGTGGCTTTCAACTTGTGCCCACCCACCTGTTGGGCTGATTACGATTGCTTGGCTAGGCTCACTTGCTGATGTTTGAGTAGGATCTAACATGTGACCATTTTGACTTGTCACCACATTCTGGCTAACTGCTGATGCTTGACTGGGTTGATGGGCAGCTCTGGGAAAAAAGGCAGGTCTCTTGCTTGTTTGTGGTTTGGTAATTACAATTTGTTGGATATGAATTGGTATTTGGGTTGTAGAAGGTGGCTGGCTAGCTAATGGACAAGGTCTAGTCTGTAACACTTGGTTAGGTAAAGCTTCCTGGTTGGCTGGTAATTGAGCAATTTCCACTATTTGGTTTTCCTTAGGTATCTCTGTGGTCTCTACAGAGTTTTTGCCCACAATTGGGGTTCGTAAATCTTTTGTGGGAGAGTTTTCTTTAGAATAAATCGTAAAATCAAAGTCATTAAAATCGAAAATAGAGCTATTTCCTCTAGTATTATTAGTTCTTTCCACAGAAAAAAGATTTGGCTCTGATGTTGTGCTTCCAAGATGATCGCCCTCATTTATGCTTTTAGGACTGATCCTGGCACTCTTTTGAAACTTAAATTTTTGCTCATTAGTTTGGGATTCTAAAATGTCTCCACTATCTAACGCCCATTGCTCAGTGAGCATTACTATTCCTTGCTGGTTTTCATCCGAAACCCCCTGTGTTTCAAAGCCAGATCCTGATGCAAATCCAGATTCAGCCTTGAATCCAGAGTCAGACCAGAGGCCTGACCCAGTTTCTGAGTCCAATTCAGACCCAGGCCCAAATCCCAGTCCTGAAACATCTCCTGTAAAACTTAAATAACCAGATCCTTCAGAACCCATACCCTTTATAGAAGATTTGCCATTACCAGGTTTACGAATGCGTGATGAAATCCCTTCTGTTCCCTTTTCTGATGTACCACCACTCTCTGGTTGTGTTGTAGGTTCTACAGTGGTCAGTCGAAGTCCCTCAGTGGTCTGGTCCCATGTCTGCACAACCTTTTGGATCCCTTGTCCCTCATCGATCATCTCAGATCGAACCATTGCGATATTCTCTGATGAAGGTTCTCCACTACCTTCTGAACTGCCAGATTCCTCATGGTCCACTGTTGGGGGCATAGTTGTAGTACCAGTCCAGCCCCAGAACCAAGCATCAGAGTAGACCACCAAGAGGGTCAACAAAAACAAAACTCTAAACGAGGTCCTCATTTTAGCCAGAAAGTCAAATATTGACCACGTCCACCCACTTGATTAAACTCCCTGAGTGAACTGTGACATGTCCACTCTGCCACTACACTCCTCACACACACTTTTCGGCACTGTCTCCACACACACTCCACCAGGCAGGGAGGAAAAGTGAAGAGGAGTGCCCCATTCAAAAGAGTAAAGGGGGAGAGCAGGAGGAGGCGTCCTCCGCATTGGCTGTCATGGCAATATTTCTTCTCCTAACTCCTCCTTCCTCCTCCTTCTCCTTTTGTCACAGCAGTGAAAAGCGATCTCTCCTGCTGACTGATACCTTAGAATTACGGCAGCTTTGCCTTTCAGTCTACAATGCTGATGCATTCAGTGTTTTAAAGAGGAGGGCAATTTGTTCCCCTTGACTTGTTCTCTTTGTTTTAACATGACAATGGTAAACTACAGATTTAGCTTAAAAGAAACTCCAAACTACCTTGGAAGCAACAGTTGTGCGCCTTTGTAATTAGCTGATTTCAACAAAAATAATAACATGCTAAATTGTGGTGTAATCCCCTCCCATGAATAGTCTCATTCCACTGCAACACCAACATGAAATGGACTGGATTGTCTTAACATATAGACCGAGACAAGGCCTTAATTCACACAGTACCCAGGCCTCACTTTCTTGTCCAGACTGGTTCCCCATACTGCTAATGTGATCAGTTGACAGAGACCCTAAACATCTGATAATGGGAGATTAGTCATAAAAGGAACGGGAGGTTTTCTCTAAAAGCACCAGGGGTTTCAAATAAAGGCAGGTATTTTGTGTGTGTAACCTCGGTTGCTGATAGAACTAAACACTTGTGCACAGCATGCAACTAACCTCATGTTGCGATGCATAAATGTCTTAACACTAGCTTGACAACTTTATCCTGTAGCTCTCCGCTATGGCCTGGGGTCACTGATGATCTGCCTGACCCCTTTCTCCAGGATTATGTGTGTTTGGTCTAATACACAGGGGAAAGGGAACCCCAAAGACATTGTAAAGTAACATGGAAAATATTGTCAAAATGAAAAGCAGCCAATGTGACATACTTAAATAAACAAAATGGGAAGGCTCACTTAGTTATCACAAGGCCAAGCTATTTTGCAGCTTTTGCCCTGATGACAATTTCAATAAGAGAAAACTATTATCTGTAATCATATGAAAAGCAGCTTCCTTGTGGGCAATACTAAGGGACTTGTGATTGTCTCGAGCTAATGTGTGACTTTTATTTAGAAGAACGTTTGTTCCTTCAAGGAAGAAAAAAGACCATGAGAATCTGCCACCATTAAAATGTTTTTTTTTAAAAAGGAGACAACCTTAAATATATAAGTTATATCTTAATCCTCATTTCAGTAACGTAATTCTAAGAGGCTAGTTGTAGCATGATCACAATACATTCAGATAAGTTGACCCTCTAGGCAAGCAGGGGTTTCCACTCTTAACAAAGCAATTGTTCACTCTAAACCTGTCAAAATAGAACGTTTCATTACAGCAGTAGCTTGAGAAGAAAATGAAAAATGCAATTCCTCTGTGTTCAGTTTTAATGTGACTTTCAAACAATGCTATGCAAAAAAAGCGAAGACATGAAATATGTCAGGAAACATTAAAAGTGGACTGCTCATACATTTTCAACCACAACTTTTTTGTTGTCAGACAAACTAAATGATTAACGTAAACTTTAGTTATCCTGTAGACCTAAATAAACCTAATGTTTATAGTAGGGATTGGGTTAATATACCGAGGGTAATACACCCTGTGTCATGGTAATGAATAGCCTCAGCTCCTCTGGCATTATATTGCATAGGTTAAAATAAAAAACAGCAATAATTAATGACAGCAGAAGGGCTTTTCCTGTTCTATACTTCCCGTCTCCTGTGGGGAGTCCCGCCAGCATGATTTCCACTTTAATGTTGTCCTTTTCTGTTCTTTAAACAACACAAGATGCCAAATCCTAAGAATTTAGACATTTATGGTAGTCCAAAAGGGATTTAGGCTCTAATCAGTGTTATTATTCCAAAGATGACAACGACTGGAGGATGTTTTTCTATGACAGCAAGAGATTTTACAGAGTTCGGAAATGTTCATTCAGACTTGAAAAATGGGAAACCTGCCAAAAGACTTGGGTGGCCAAGCACATACCCTGTCACCTCAAAACTAGGAAACAATCTGCTAACTTTATGGAAAAACCTGGCAAGAAAGGTGGAAATGCACTCAATAAGGGGAAGTACTTTTGTGCTTGTGGAGTGACAGTTTTTTTTAGCACATAATCTGCAGATATCATAACTTGGAATTTGTTAAAAAGTCTCTCTTTTCAACATCCCTTTAATGTGTACTGATACCGGTGTAGAGTACAGGCTGCGAGAGTCGTAATGTCAACACGGCCAGAAGATTTCTTGTTTTCAGGAGTGGCATTTGTAATTGGAACGGGTAATTACAGTAAGAAGGATTGAAAAGTTTGCACAGGGCTGTACGATGAAGATGGAAGAGTCTAAACAAAGAAGCGCATCCACTGAACACTGCTCTGCAACGATGGTCCACTTTTTGAGGAGAAATTAAATTGGTCAGAAAAGCAGTTATTTGCAGGTTCTTTCAGAAACTGCAACAAGATTTTCCTGTTGGAATGTTTCTGTCTTTTGACGGATAACTGTTTCAATTAAAGGACAATGTTCATACAAAAATGTTCGTGTAAATATGGTTCATATTTGTAATGCTGATATGAAATATGCATAAAGCTAAGATTTAGGAACTCATTCTAGGCTAATAGAAGATCATCCTTAGTATAAGCTAATATAACCTGACAAGTTAAATGGCTCTTACTCTGGAGACTTCTGTGCTTTATTATGTTTTTTATAAGGGTTTAACAAATAAAAGAGGACCATAATGTTCAAAGTTTTTTCAAGAAATCTAAAGTGCAAAACATTTGAACATTTCAGGACTTTGACAATGTGCTGGAAACTTCTGAAGCAATGGAGACGAAACTCAGAGAGACACGGGGAGAGCAGGAACTTTGATGGCAAACACTGATGGTTTATTATGGAGTTACTGCCGGAGAAGTTGATAAGACATGTGCTGCCGCCACGAGGTGAAACAGCGGTTGCCAAACAGATTCTGAAGATCTCTACCCCAGACCCATGTATTTAGCTGGTTCCGAGAGAATAATCAACATGCTGCATAACAAGATAAAACAGGCAAAACACTATAACACCTCTATCAGCTGACGCCAACAGACAGGAACAGGGAGACAAAATACTGAGAGCACAGCTTGTGCTCAGCAAGGGCAGTACAAACTGATAAATTGGGTCAAAGTTATAGGCCTAGGAAAATATTTCCACAACAGACACCAATCATGGCATTTCATTCACATCTAGGTGGTAGCAAAATCAACACACAAAACCTATATTGTAGGGCTGTCCCGAATACCATTTTTCGGGCTCCGGATATTCGGTAGTAATCAGCAGCGAATATTCAACCCGCGCGGGGGGGTGCGTAGTAATCAGCAGCGAACCGCTTCAACACGTGTATTTTGGTTTATTCACGGCATTCATTTTGTTATTCTACAGTATTGTTGTTTTATAGTTATTTGTTAATGTCTTTAACCCAATTTCTGTTCTTTGAACTTTCGTTGCAGTTGTATCTGTCTAAAGTGTAATTTGGCTTGGCTTCCTTTTTGTATGGACATGCTTTTATTTTGAAGGAGAGTTAGCGCTGTTGACAGGAAGTTGTTGTTGCTATGGAAACAATGTGACGGAGATTAACGGATAAAAAGTGATATCTACATACTGTATAAAGACGGAGAAAGTAAACGATAACGTTTATGGTTAAGTGTTAGTACCCCCCAAAGAGGCACACGCTCTTACGTTGATATTGGAGTTTTCAATAAATTGTATTTGGCCAAAGAAAAAAAAAAACGAAAAAAAAAAACGAAATTGAAACCCGAATAGTACTCCAACGAACAAATATTCGGATATTCGGGTACAGCCCTACTATATTGTTTAACATTAGAACGGATTATAATAATGTTCAAAATGTTTACGGGAGAGTTTGATAACCAAGATGATAAAGAATTATTTCCATCATTATTTTTAAAAATAACCGTATAAATATTTTTGCAATCAAGGGAACCAGACTATACAAATACTAATTTCATGCATATACTGTTTGGTTTTGAAGTCTGTTTTGACTCCTCCAGTTTAACCATGAATACTGTTTATTTCTCCTATAAATAAAGAAAGGCTTTTCTTACACGACTGTGTTGATATTGCAAAGTGGTATTCCTGAATGTCTTTAATGTCTGCGACCTGTGAAACCCTGAGATGTTTGAGCAGGGGATAAACTGAAATTCCAGGCCCCCCCAGTGTCTGATCTCACAATACACAGACAAAAGCGTGAAACCTAAGACCAGGAATGAGTCCGAGGGCTGAGACCATCAATGGGAGGATGAATGATCGACTAATTACAACACCAACAAAACCTGCTGAACATAATCCACGAGGGGCTAAAGGAGTCTAATTATCTGTCACGGGAGTATTTTATGCCAAACTGTCATTCAGATATCCAATCTGATGTGCAGGGTGCTAATTTCATCACTGCTTAATATAGCTTTTGTAAATAAGTAAAGAATAAGAGGGCATGTGTGTGCAACACAATCTACTACACAAATGGCACTGGAAAGAGAGGAAGTACACGTTTCAATAGCTTTTTACAGTAAACCTTCTCCATTGAGCTTATTGTTAACTTAACACAATAAATTACCATTAACTTCTTAAAAAATATAAGTATGTTGCACCTTTGTCATCCAAAGGCTTTACAGAAATGCAGGGGTTCTGTTGCAAGGCAATTCAAGTGTCTTAGACCTAAAGAGTACAAAGAGAGACGCATTACACAAGATGCACACAGGTTGACAATACAGAAACGTTAGGGTCTATTTATCCTTAGCCCTTAGACAAGCTAACAAGCCTTTTGGCGGTTGCTGGCGGGGGGGGGGGGGAAACTCGACCAACAACCAATCACATGAATCTCCCGCCCCAGACACACAAGCACGCGGTTTGATTGGCTAAAGCTTGGACTGGCATATGATTCGATTGGCTG